AAAGTTTAATTTGTTTATGGGTTTCACTTCCAATGGCTATTATATTGTTATAAAAATATACCTTTTTATAGCAATTAATTGTTTGGCTATAAATGAAATGCCGGAAAGAATGTTGTATTTGTCAGACAAGAAGTCACAGCATTTAAATATAAGTTATAGACCTATGAATGAACGTATTGTCTGCTATTAATGCCAACAATTGACAGCACAATTGAATGCAATGTAAAATTGCGATAAAATCCAAACCAATAAATGTTTAGTATATTTGTACTGTTATAATGTCTCTTCCGCTTCGAAATGATAATACAAAAAGCAATTTTCAAAATGCATTCTTTCATCCCTTTCTTCTCGTAATTCATTTACTTTTTAATGTCTTATTATTAGCTCTTGTTTTACATATTATATTCATTTTAATATTGTTTTTACGCAAAAATAACAATTTTTGTATAATTAGTTTAATTTAAGGTCTAATTGAAGTCCATTTGATGTAATGAGGCCTTTGCTGTAGTAATGATTTTGCAGTTTGTCTTTGATCTCAATTTCTAAATAATGGATTCACTCAATAATTCAACACAATTTTACTCTATTTGTAGCGTATATTGAATGTTATACTTACTCAATATACGAATATATTTCAATGTTATCACTATACAACTGTATAACCAAAAATTATTATTCAGCAAAAAAATATCAAAACATCATTACTATAATTAGATATAATATTCTTGTAATACTGTTGTCGTACAGAATCTTAATTAATATATGACTTTATAAGAGGTTTTAATAAATGTGAACAAAAAGTTTTAAATTATAATTTATAATTTATAGCATATAAATATTGGCAATATTCCCGAAAATGTGCACAAAATATAAGAATCATTGTTATTACAGAATGATTGTGTTTTTTGTCATTCATTGCATTACATGCTGTCAACCAAATAATTAATTGTTTATCTGAAATCAGCGTTTAATATGTCGTTTATGTATAGGAACTGAATATGAATAATAGCTATTCTGTTAATTGATTGATTGGTTTTAATTAATAAATATATTTGTATTGTATGATTGCAGAAGAGTTTGTAGCTCATGGGGCGAGCGTTACATGTCTGGCATTGGGCCAGAAGTCGGGCCGAGTTATGGTCACCGGAGGTGAGGACAAAAAAGTAAACCTCTGGGCGATTGGCAAACAAAATTGTATTATGGTAAGCATATTATTACACCATTTCTATTTATAACTTTTTTATTTGTGTTTCTAAAGTGTTTTACAATTATGTTTAACACTGAAAGATCTTGAATTAATATACAGTGTGTTTGAGTGAGTGGTTATGTATGAGCCCACAGCACCCTATCATCAAAAAGGAGA